TAGACCCGGATACAGGATAATCAGCAGGTTCAAATGACCCTGTTGATCTTCCTTCATCTGGGTCAAATCCTAATCAATTAATAGCAGACTGTTGATAATTCGGCTTTTCAATTATCCGGCATGACCCCCCCATTAAAATGTCTTTCTCTCATTCGTGTTTAATGAGAGGTTGCTGCCGAAGTTTTCATCTCTAAAACGTGAACGTCGAACGTCAGCGCCTCCATCTTGTAAACCTAGAGGTTTGACAATGGCGTTTGAACGTCAACGGCTCTATTATTTTTCAAATTTGTAACATTAACTTTAATAAAAAATTAAACTTGCATTCCTGTGCATAATTTCGCAATAACAAAATGCAGCTGCAAAAAAGAATCGGCGCGGAAGGGCGACAGGTCATGTCGTTCATTGCTTAGACTCAGTAATCCGGCACTATTCTGAATGGCCGGATTAGCAAGTCTACTGTATAATTTCATGATTTTTTTACATAAAAAACTAAATTTTTGTGGCTTCTATATGTCCGGGAATCAAAATTTAATCTTTTATATGAAAAAAATGGGATATATGAAAATGAATAGATTAAAGTTGGGTCTTATGAGGTCCATGCTCTATCTCACTTATCTCAGCACCTGGTTATGATATTTGGATATTAAATTTCAATTATCAAACATTTTTACATTTTATGTAAAATTACATAAATGGAAACTTTTAAATTATCAAATTATTAAAAGTTACAAAAATAAATTATGATATATATATTTTATAACAAACATTAAGTATTATAATAATATGAATGCAATTTTATAAGTAGAACTAATTATTGATTTAATTATTTATAAAATTATGATTTCTCTAATTAAAAATGTTGATCTAATTATAATAATTGTGTCATTTTAAAAACTATGAAATTATAATTATACATAATTTATTAATTAGATTTAGCAATTAATTTATGATAAATAATTATCTCTTAAAATTTTATATAAAATTCTTATATTTTCATAAATATCACAATTGACATAAATTTTATTAAATGATATTAAGTTTAAAACCAGATTTCTCAGTCAGATTAATTTTAAACATAAGAATTTATTGGAAATTTTTGACCTAAATATCTTCATTAATAATTTAATATTTTATGAATTTTTATTTATTAAGTGAGCAATTTAAATAGTATTAAAAATAATGAAACTCTACTTATTTTGATGAATTCAAAAAAATTTAATTAAACAAGTATTGTAAATCAATATCAAGCATACCAAATAAACTTAGTTTTGTAATGATGTATTTATTATTATTATGGAATAGATGTATAAACAATATACCATATATCAGATGAAATTAAAGTTACTAGGAAAGATCTAAAGTATTTGTAGTCAATGTAATACTCAGGAAAAGATCAAATCCTAAATGAACAGTTTCAATATTTTTAATCGAAATTTTGCAATCTTTCAATTTTTGTTATTAACAGATAAAAGAAATCATTGAATTATAAAATTTTTCAGATCCTTTTTAGTTAAAAGATATCTTGGTACAACTATCGAATGCGATTTTATTTTAAGACGGTCCAGCAATAAATGAATGTATTAGTATGATAAATTTATCGTGAAATTAATTACATTGTTTTAAATTAATCTTATCTTAGCCACTGATATTTAGGCTCTGATTAACAGTTGATAAAGATAACAGTAAATAGGTTGAAGATCTGCTAATCAATATCGTTAGTCAATTAAATTTTATATTATTTTAACTGAACTAAACTAATATAATTAATTGAAAAATTCTCCTTTTGAAAAGATTTGCTCGTCATGTAGAATGGCATATATTTTTGCGGCAATTTAATGTTATTTTTTCGACTTTTCCTCGTCTTAAAACTAAATTAAAGTGAAAATAGACACTATTCTAACTAATAGCACAAACTGAAAATTGTATATCATTACTCCAAGAGTTATTTATTATAAGGTTATGAGTTGTTTGCTATCGATTATTTAGAATCTATAACTTAACATTTTTGTCTTGATCTTTTCCAAATATTAGCTTAAATATTTTTATCTAATAATTTTTTTATTAACTTGAGATCTGCGAGAAAACTTTCATGTAACATAAAAATAACACAGTAATTAAAAATAATAAACTTATTAAAAATTAAATAAATTCCATTTTTCCGTTTAATGTATAAATCTATATTTGTATTCTTTGTGATCTATTTTCTGATTTCAGACAAAATAATTTTATCCAGAGTTCCGTGGTAATATTTTTAATGTAGAAAAGGATTCCGCGATCAAATTAAACTAGGAAAAACACCCGAGGTTATTTTCTGTAGCAATTGCCACTCTCGGAATATTTAATATATTTCCTCCTTAAGGTATATAAGATGAAAACTAGTTCCACGACATTAAAAAGATTTACTCAAATAACTACATGTTCTGTATCTCGAGGCACGATATAAGGTGAAAGAAAACGATTCCTTAATAAAATCCATTCTTACTTAATAAACTTTTTATGTATAACTAACACAAAATATTTAATTGGTCATAGGTTTATATAAAATTCGTTTCTACCGTTATGAAATTTAATATATTATATATCTTTTAAAATTTATCACCTTAATAGGCACCAGAAGGAAAATAGTTAATTCATCATGCTTTATCACTTAAAGATTCACAATTTAGCTCCATATAAATTATTATTATAAATTCGTAACAGTTAAATTAGATATTTTCTTCATCATATGTACTGGTACGTTTAATCAATTAAGCAGGATCCCAGATATTTGATACGTATGATTTTACTTTATCTTTTTAACTTTTTATGCTGTTTTTAATCTTCTCAATACATCAATTTTTTCCTTAAGTTTCTAATTTAAGAAAACATTATTTTTGTTAAAATAGCATTTTCATAAATTAATTACACTTTATCCATATGAATTTTATCGATTAATTTCATCAAATTTTATTTATTTATTTACAGTATAAGAAATTATATATCTTAAATAGAGAATCATAAAGTATAAAATCATAAATTTAAAGACATCTCTCGTGCTTAAGTTTGATTTAATAATAAAAAATTTTAATTATACGCTTTACTAAATAGTAACTTTATAAATAAATATCATTAATATTATATTACCACATTAATTTTATTTCTATATATGATACACATCTACATATATTCATTGATCCTATATACATTCTTCACTTTTAGTATTAAATTAATTTTTATTATAAGATTATTATGTTTTTATTACTGTATTTTATAAGACTCTGAATGAACTTTTTAAATGAATACAAAGGGATAACTTTGAATGAGCGTTGAACTAAGGTTTGTCATGACAACCTGAAACTGTCTTAACATTCAAAAGATAGATAAAATTTATGAAATGATTTCTTCGCCCGAGTTAGCAATTAGGCTTAATATCATTAAACAATAATTTGTCCTAATTTATACTTGTATATTGAATTCTTTTAAAATAGATATGCCAAATGAAAACACAATTATAGTTTTAGAAAAGGAAACACATTAAGGAAACTAAATTATTTATCAATATTGTCAATCTTACAGATATTGTCGAGATAATAATTTTATAAAGAAATGTTGCGTTATATATACAGTATATTTGTTTTATTTTGTTTTTTTAATTAACTATTCTGGTTCGTCAAACTTTCCGAAATTAAGTTAACTGTAATAAGTTGTTCGTTTAAAACTTATTTCAGAGACCTGCATAGAAAGCTTAACAAGCTAGAGATTTTGCCACGAAGTTTATTTCTTTAAACTAACAAGAATTGGTCACATTGCATCAATTTAATAACGAAATAATACATATGAATTTAGATAATATTTGACTAGAATATTTGCTGGTAGTATAATACAGTATTTTATTCAAGTGATTATTATTTCGTTTTATTAAATGTTTATAAAAATCCCGTAGATTCTTATAAGGAAATATTTATAAAAATGTGTATTTTTAAATAAACTGCTAATTATTAATGATTCATTTTAAAAAGTAATAGTCAACTCTTTATTTGGCAAATTACAAGACTGCTAAAACAATTTTTCTGTTTGAACCATTATAATAATATATTTCGTTTTATAAAAACAATAACAGTAAGTTATTGAATTATTCTAATTTAGTGTATACTTTAATCAAAACGTTTCGAGTTTACGGTAACTTATCAAAAATAGTTTTCTTAGAATATAAGATATAAAATCAAGAGCACGTCCATGATTTATTTAATTTTTGAATATCGTACAAAAACTAAAATAATTGATACATTAATTGAAGTTCGTTTATGGATAGTTCTTATCAGGTTCGTGCACAGGATTTTTAAAAGGGTGGAATTAAAAAATATAGGCCTATACATTATTTTTCGTAGCATAGATTATTAATTTTTAAATGTAGGTATACGAGTAACACATTACAGTAGACTAAAGAGTAACTTAATCAGTACAAAACAAGTACCAGTATGCTACACACAATAAACTGTTTTATTTATTCTTTAATTCTTTCTAAATGGGGGGGGGGGCGAAACCCCAAAATCTCCGTGTGCGCGGCCTTGGTTTCTATATTTATCAATTTCTCTAAAAATCTATTTCAAAAATTTATTCTTGAACATAATTTTACGTTGTAAACTATATTTTGAACGATAACTATTATAATTTTTCGTTTATAAAAGCATTGTAATTGTGCTATACTAAATAATACTTAATTTAATGAAAGAATTCTTATTTGTTTTTAAATAAATGTATAATGTTTTATATGACGTCATTAAGTCGTGATTATATATTTTCCATGGCAACAATGGAACATTAACCTCCATTCGCGTTTCTCTTATCGAGTGTTTCAGAATAGAATTTTTTTTTTTTAAATAATTTTTTCAAAACTTTCTATTTCTTTAATAACACAAAACAATAATTCATTCTGTATAAAATTTTCGTCAGATAGTCAATAATAATAAACCTAAAGAAGCAAATAAATCAATAAAATAAACAATTTTGTCTATTTACAGGTATGTATTGGTGACGGTTATTTTGCTGGTTTTGGGAGATAATATAATTCTCTCGGTCCAGCAAGTAAGACCCCCTTTCAACAATGATTATTCTCCAGGATGTGCTTTAGTTTTGAAGAGTGGAAAACGAAGAGTTCATTCCAAAAGATCCTTACCACCTGGCATCCAATTCATCAAGGCTTTTGTGGAAGAGTAAAAACCTTACTTTTTTTATGTTAGATTTATAGAGATTAATGTGGAGAATTGTCTAGTTTAAGATTACACAAGTAAATGGATGATAGCAAACATTTGATTTAATTTATAAAGAACGTTTTATAATATAAACTGGATATAGTTCATTATTATGAATGCTACATCATTTAATGATTCAAATCAAGAGCACGTCTATAAAATTAAAGAGATGATCTTAGATGTTCAAGAACTTAATGCTAGACTAACACTAGACGCTTAAATTAAAATAGAAAATATTTTTAATAATATAGGCTAATGGAAAAGTATTACGACATAAATACATAGAGTTGGTTAATATGTTATAATCCGTGAGGGTAGAGAATAAAAGGAAGGGGGTCAATTCATGTTTGTATGTAAGTGAATCGCGTTATTTTGAATCTTTTTCCTCCTTCAGTTTACTCGTCGGGAGTTGAAAGTTCTAACCTTTGCTCTGTGAGCTAATTCTTCTCCAGTTTTTTCCTCCACATTAGCCTTTATGTAGGCCAAGGTTCGAGGTTATCCAACCTTGCACCTGACCATGTCACTTATGTCTCACGTATTGTTCTATACAGTAAATGTTATGAATTTTTTAGCTGGAGAGTAGAAGAAAGTTCGGAAAGCGGGCCAGACTGTATTACATTTGACGACATTAATAGAGCAGTGCACGAAGCCAGAAGAAAATTTGGTAAGTGTGCCATGCGGAAACAGTTGTTTATAATATTCAAGACTCAAACTGAATTAATAATATTCATTTTACCTTTGTCAGAAAATTCTGCCCTTAATAAAACTTTACGAGATTTTATATTCTCTTCTACAGGACAAGAAGTTCCATGGGAAATTCAAGAGTTGTCTTCAGTACAGCCTAAGCCCGAACATATATCAATCGTAGCCGAAATTCTGCTAGAGGCGACAAAAATATTGGCTCACAGGTTGTTAAATATTCATAAAAGTTTTTAAATTTAAAATAATTTTTAAATGAAGTTCAAAGATGGGCATAAATATAATATAATGACCCAATTGTATTAAATTTTATGGCAAAAGAGGTCACGTTATACGATTCTCAATTAATTTTGTTTTTGCCTTGTTTAAGGAACCCAAATTCGGAACTCAAAAATTCTGTTAATATCAGATCGCCTACATACCATATTGAGAGATTTTATATAATAAATAACTAACTAACTATATATTAACCTCTTAAAAGAAAAAAAGAGTAGTATATACGAGACATCTGCGGACTTGAATCATTAGTCTGACGTTAGCCACTAAGTTTTGTATTATTACATCATCTTGAGTCGTGACATTTAAGTAAATAAAAAAATGAGGGTCTCATAAAAAAATTAATCTCTGACCTTTTAGCCTTAAAACGTCTTGCTGTTTGCTTTTGCTTGTAGGCTTTTTTCCATTATTAATTTAAAACTGTTCATTACATTCTTATGCAGTAAGTTTAATTATATAATAGAAATATTCTTATTGTATATTATACTATGTAATAAGAAAAATGTTATTTTTATTGCAATGTAAATTATATTCATAAAACACTAGAAAACCATATTTCCTACAACTGATTCTTGAAATGTTATCATGCACTATAATTTAGTAATTCAATGAAATATTGTCTTTTAAAGTACAAGCTTATGTAACCGAAATAATTAATTTTAAATGTTTTATATTTGAATTGACATCAAGTTTGCATTTATGCAAACAAAAATATATATTTAATTGTCATACTTCTTATCAGATGCATATTAAATAAGTAAAAATAAAACAAACAAGAACTAGCGAAATGTAAAAAGTGAGCTAGAAAAGACAAAAAAAAATCAATAAAATATAAATATAATGAACCATTTGATATAGTTCTTATAAGCCAAATTTCTCTTAATTTTGCTTAAAATTGAATATAAAAAATAAATTTAATCATTACATTTCTTAGAACATTCAATTTTTAACGTTACGTTTTGAAAATATTTCAGGAAATCAATTTTATTTTATAAAATTATTTTTATCTTATTAAATATCGATAAAGAATAATTAAACTTAAAAATACATTGAAAAATAATTAAACTTAAAGTACTGTATATGAAGAGCAAGAAGGAGAACAATTAAAAATATACAAAATATTTTAATTGTTCTCCTCCTTGGTCTTCATGTACTGTACTTTCAATTCAAAATTTGTTTCTGTTGTTTTTGTAAACAGCAATAATTTAATTTAAACAATAAACAAAACAATTTTACTTATTATTATTTTTTTAAATTAGACCAGCACTCGTGACTTTTGTTATAATTAGAGATGAATAAAATTATTTTTGCAAACATTCCATAAGTCTGTCATTGAGGTGTTTGTAATTTCTTTAGTATTAACTATTTATTTCTAACTTGGTACATTTGACTCACCTAAAGTTGTCGGTAAATCTTGTATGTCGTCTTCTATCTGTGAGTCAGTTTCATCTTTAGACATATTCTGTACTTTTTTATCGACAGGTGAACTGTAGTTAGTTATTAGTTTAGTGTTGCTTCTACGTTTTGTCGGGATCTTTGTATGAGACCAGGATTAGATTCAACTCCAGAAATAAGTAAAAGTATTAAAATTAATTTAATATTATCGCATTTTTCAGTAAAAAAAAATTTGAAAAACTTAAATACAAAAACTTCCTTCGTATTGTTAAGGTCTGAGAGAAAATGCGCCAGCAGTCACAACACACCCCCTATTTTCGAAAATATTAAATAATGGAAAAGAGAATTACTTTTAAAAAAATCAAAATTTACCTTATATTTTTTTATAACTAAGCATTTAAAATAAAATAATTTAAAAATATTTAATGAATGATAGTTACTTTAAAAACATTGAATAGATTGAACATATCTAATTATGTTCGTTGTTTGTATATCAATACATAATCATGATATAGACTTATTTGAGACAAAGTACTGTACATAAATATCATATTTCTTAGGATTTAAGACGCACCCTACTTTTAAAAATGAAGTTTTCAAGGAAAAGTTGGATGATAATTAGAAAAAATGTAGTTTAAAAGAACTTATTAATGAGTAAAAACATTTTATTTTAAATACATCAATAAATTAACAATGTAAATAAAGTAAACAGGAAATGATATAAAATTTTCATTACATAAAGACATTGAAGAGTGACGAAAAATATTTAAAATTTAAGATACATTCCAATTTCAAATTTGGAAACCAGAAAAAATGTCGTAAATTCAAAGCAATATGATACATAATTTTTAAATAACGAGAATTTCCTAATGAAAGTATACGAGAAAAAAATATAACAACGGATAAAATAAATCTCTTCCACCTCCACAAAAAAACACAAAACTTGGTTTAATTGATTGTTGTTTTAATAATTATAATAATTATTATTTTTCAAAAAAATCTTCCTTTGCTTCAAGTACAATAAATTTAGAATTTCTAGATTTTAATATCACAGGAACTCCTTTAGGTGTTAACAATGTTAAAATAAAACAGAATTAAATATGTTTTTACATTCCAACAAATAAAAATAGTCTTTTGGTTTAGAAAATCTATTTCCAAGCAGTGAAGTGAAAAATGACTTTCCTTTTGATTGTTCTCGTAAAACGTAATTCAAATATTGTTTTAACGCTTGAGTACATGTTTAAGGTCGACATTCAATTAATAATTATTTTTAAGTGCAAATTCCTCCTATTTCTTATTGTACAGTAAGCTATATAGGATTTATACGATCACATTCTTATTTTTTTGTTTCAACAATTCTAAAACAAGAAAAATTAATTCCATACCACAGAATAATGAAGCACAAGAACACAGTTTCTAAAAGCAATTGTTCAAATTTTAACTTTAAATATTACTCATAAAATATTTTTATTGATTGGTTTTTAAATTTTGTTTTCTAGATTCTATCTCTCTTTCGATACTATAGCCCATGGACTCCCGCAAATCGAAACTTCCAAAACAATTATTAATGATATCTGTCCTACTTTTCTCAAACCAGTGAAATGTGAAGTCAGTCGTTATCGCACTTTGACTGGAATGTGCAACAATTTAGACAATCCCTCCTGGGGTTCTGCTCGATCGGCTATGGTTAGATTTTTGCCTCCCAATTATTCAGATGGTATAAATTCCTAAATAAATATATATAGTTTTTACTTTTTCATTTAATGTTATTGTTTTCTGATTCTCTCATTTTTCAAAGGAATATCTGTACCTAGACGAGCATATGATGGAGAATTGTTGCCTAGTCCCAGAATTGTCAGTTTGGTCATGCATCACGATGTAAGCGAACATGATTACGGAATCTGTAACATGATTGCTGCTTGGGGCCAGATGTTAGATCACGATTTAACTAGAGCAGCTCCTTCTCTTGGTATTAAAATTTAATCTTTCAATGGAATGAAATTCAATTATCTAAACTAAATTAAACTTTATTTATGTAGATCAAAGTAAAAGAAGCATAGAATGTTGCAAATCACAGCAGAAACATTATAACTGCTATCCGGTTAACATTCCCTCCGATGATCCGTTTTATAAATTCTTTGATCGAAAATGCATGAATTTCGCTAGATCTCTGGCTGGTTTGCAACCTGGATGCAGATTGGGTGAGTTACATTTGTTTTAATAATTTAATTGTAATTAAATGTTGGCCCACGATTAACTTTTTAAATTACTTTTAGGCCCTCGTTGGCAAGTGAATGCGATATCTGCTTACATAGATGGAAATTTCCTTTATGGGAGTAACGAAGAAGTTGCTAACAGATTAAGAGAATATAGAGGAGGTGAGCATTTCGAAATAGTTTTAACCAGTAAAAACATTTAGTTACATTGATTTATCATATTTTCTAGGAAGGTTGAAAACGTCACCTCTTTATCGAAATTTGGGATTAAAAGATTTACTTCCTATGAAAACTGTGGATCCAGATGTGGGTTGCATTGCCAGACCAAGAAATTTATATTGTTTTGATGCCGGTGGGCAAAATGTTAAATTAGATCTAATCCAAAAATATTTTGCATTTTTATAATTTCTCTCTCTTTTGAAGGCGATAACAGAGTCAACGAACAATTGCAATTGGCAGTGATGCACATTTTGATGATGAGAGAACATAATCGAATTGCAAACATTCTTTCACAAATAAATCCTCATTGGGACGATGAAACAATTTATCAGGAAACACGACACGTTATTTCTGCAGAAATACAACACATTACTTACAATGAATTTTTACCAGTTGTCTTGGGAGATGACATGATGAAGAAATACGACCTACAACCTTTAGCAAAGGTCGAGAGAATTAATTCCAATATATCCCAGTTAAAATGCACTTTTTATGCATAATCAACTTCAATAGTAAAAATCTCTTAAATACTTTTCTAATTTCAGGGTTACTATCAAGGTTACAGCCCTAAAATAAATGCCGGTATAAGAGCAGCCTTCCAATCTGCAGCTTTTCGATTTGGACATAGTTTATTACCGGATGTTACCGAACGATATAATAAATATCACGAGAGAATAGGTAGATATTGAATGTCAAAGATTATTATTAATCATTGTGTAATTAATAGTAATCAATTATATTTACAACACATTTATAGAGGCCATTCGTCTATCAACTCAATTACTGCAACCGTACGATTTGTACAAACCGGGAATTATCGACACTTTTATTTTGGGTCTTATAAATCAAGAAGCTTACCGTATGGATACAGAAATCACTACCGAAGTAACGAATCACTTATTCGAGAAACCTGGAGATAGGTTTGGAATGGATTTAGCATCGATGAATATGCAAAGAGCGAGAGAACATGGTTTGCCCGGATATAATCGTTATAGAGAATATTGTGGTTTACCACCTGCTAGAAGCTTCGATGATCTCGTTGGTTTAATGCCAAATAAAACCATTCATCGTTACAGCAAATTATATAAGTAAGCGCTTTATTTTTAACAAAATCTTTTACAATAATCATCAGTGCCGTCTTTAGGACTGGGCCTACGGGGCTCCTTAATCCGAAAGTAATAAAGTTACAAATAAAAAATAAGTTAATTGAAATAAACGAATATTAAAAATATCAAATACTTCATTTTTAACTACATATAGGAGAAATAATCTTAAAACTAAGCAAACTTACAAAATTTTTCTTACACATTTTGCTGCTGTGAAATTCATAATTAATTTATCGAATTTACTTTATTATATCCGATTCTATATTCATAATAGAAAGATTATTTAATCTCGATTGAAACATCGTATTACGATGATAATTTTTTTATAAATTCAAAATAGAAAATACAAATTGTTCTGGTGAACGTTCAATCATTAAAGTTAAAAATATTCTAAAACTGATCCCTATACTGGGAAATGTACACGATAGCAAATCTTACTTTATTAAAAAATACATATCTGAGATCGACATATTTTCTTTACCTTTATGTAATATACTATTGTTTCTGTTTCCTTAAGGGGGCCCCATCTTGCTCCTGGCCCAGGGCCCCTTACGTTCTAAAAACGGCGCTGATAATCATGAGTATGTTACAAGGATTTTCATAACTCTTACAAGATTTTTTTTATCATCGAAAAGTAATGTTTAAACGAGACTATAATGACACTTATATTAAGACTCACGAATTTTGAAAAATATATTAATAAGTTTTAAAGCTTCATTTTGAATGAATTAATATAGTTACGTTAGTAAAAATGTATATCTTTTAAATACAGTAATTTTATGCAATTCCTCAGGGTTTAGGCTTTAGGAAAAAAAATCGTTAAAAATTTATTTAAAATAAATTTTAAATCGTTTAATTTTAAAAGATAAAAATTATGAAAATTATTATTAGGTATACTAAAATTGGATTAAGATCAGATATCATTGTCTATTAATAGAAATTAAAGGATGTCAGAAATTTTCTCAGGTTAATATTAACCGTCAGTAGACGAAAGGAACAATGAAATGCGGAAACTTGGCTCAGTTTCCTGGACTGTAGCATCAATTGTCACGACAATAGAACGATTTAATCATCTGATGAAATAGATAATTTAAAGGCTAACTTCTAAAAACATTTAAATTTACAAAACGGACTCCAGTTTTGATTGTAAAGTTTATTGAATAAATCATTAGTAAAGTTTTAAAAGCGCTGCTCTATCATGATCTCATTTTAACCTATTTAGCATGTAAATTTAACGTGACCAAAACGCACATCAAGAAAAGTTGAGTAGAAAGCTTCTACTTACTTCTAAGTCACGTTATTGCAATTTATACCAAAAACTAATAGTCAAGTAATTTTTTCACATTTTTTAAATGAATATTAACAATTGAAAATGTTATCTTATAGAAATATCCACGATCTTGATTTATGGAGCGTAGGTATTGCAGAATTTCCTATTCCTAAAGGTATAGTTGGTCCGACATTTGCTTGCTTAATTGCCGAACAATTTGCTAATATCAGAAGGGGAGATCGGTTTTGGTATGAGAATCCAGACTGGCCTTCAAGCTTCACTCCAGGTAATTAGCACTTATTAATATTGAAAAAAACATCTATATTTAATAAAAGCAATCTTTTTCACGTGGAATTATTTTTAATCAGCTCAACTTCAAGAAATAAGAAAAGTAAAATTAAGTCGACTTTTGTGTGATAACGCAGATGACATGATCAGTGTACAGTTTCATGCTATGAGAATGGCTGATCCAAGACTGTAAGTGGCAATTTCCTTTAAAATCTATAGACAATTCCGATAAGTTGAGGCTAATTTATTATATATATATATATCATTTTTAACGAATTTTTATGAGCTCGTTTTGTATATGATAATAGCATCCAATTTATCTCTAATTAGTCTGAACTTTCATAAACATAGAAAACAATTTTAAGAGGGACGAAAATTCAAAACTATCACACTTCCCAATGTGAGAAAAATCTTTTGTTTCAGAAATCCACGATTAGATTGCGGAGGGCCAGATATACCAAGAATGGATCTGACAAAATGGAGAGACACTAAATACGACAAATGAACATGAAGATTTTATAACCGTGATCCCAATATGTAAATACCGTTTGAACTCTTATTTAAGCTTCGGAACCACGAATGTTGAAGATGGTGACAACCATTGTCTTCTATTTAGGAGGATGTTTGTCATTAAGTACAATAAATTCTAAATCGTTTCATCATGGTCATTTATAATTTGAGTCAAGATATCATTCACTATGCTGCTTTCATTTCGAAATTAATACTAATTATTTCAAATTCACAATTCAAAATAATTTTCACATATAAAGTCAAATAATTTAAATAAAAAGCATTTAAAAAGTTGAGAATTAGTGATTTATAGTTAAAAATTCTCAATCTAATAAAAATCACTGAAACATCAATTCACAAATGATAATTTTTACCTGTATTTACATTCCAGTTTGTTAAAAGTTTTCATTTATTAAATATGAAATACAAAGTAAATATATTTAAAATTTGAGATTATTAATAACCTTTAATAAAACCTTGAAGAATAATAATAGACAAAATAATTTTTCATTTATTGAACTGCAAATTATAAAAAGGAACAATTTATATACAATTCCTTTTATTTCTTTAGCTAACAACTTTTATCATATACAGTATATATCATAATTACATATTTTCATTTCATTTAATAACATTGATATAATTTATAATTAAATATTTTATAATTTCATATTGCATTAAAGAGCTTCAACTTAACAAAGAATAAAAATTAAACAAAAACTAATTTATCAAAAACTATAATTTTTTAGATATTAAACAATTATTTTGACTTAAACACACAGTATTTCCTATATTCTCTTTTGTGATAACTAGAAATGTATAAATTGAAACAAATTAAATATAATATAGTTAAATCTGGACCATAAAAAAGACTTTAGTTTGTATGAATAAAAATTTTTTATATGAAGCATTAACANGAAAACAATTTATAAATTATATACTACATAAAATGTTTTAATAATAAATTTGAAATCAATTTAGTTAACAAATTTTTTCCAAAACAGAATAAAAGATTATGAACATATATTTGTTTTATACTGTTCTGCTTTGCTAACGGCAATAGGAATGTTTTCATTGGTCCTCGTATTTGGTTGTCCTAATAGTTGTGGACATTGTTGACTTCCTTCCTGAATTTTTGCTGCGACAGTTAATAAATCATAATTAATGCGATCGGTTACAACCGAATCGTGTTTATAGTCTGGATGATTTTTGACAAATTCTCTTATCCATCTTGCAGTAGTCAGAAGTTCTCCTATTTGCAAAATAAGGAAATTTTTAAAATCTTTTTAATGAGGATAAAATGAAAATAGTTATCTTTAATGCATTACCAGAAGCCCTCCTTTGAATAAAAGTTAAGTATTGTTGTATGGAGCACTGAGTGTCTACATCAATATCAACATAAGTTAAAAACTTCTTAATTAATGGAATCAATCCAGGAAATTCATTATCTTTTCCATTGATGATTTCATTTATGGTCATTTGTGTATATTCACATTTTTCTGGGGAAGAACAACTTTCCAGACATTCTGCAACTACTGGTGGACTACTACCTATAAAAATTAAACATAATTTTCATAAACAGAACAATGGAAAACTGATAAATTTTCTATAAAGAAATTATTGACAAGCTTATTTACATGTCATTATGTCTTTCCTAAACCAGTATTTTTTATTCAAAACAGCATTTCTCTGTTGACCTTCTGATAAATTCTCATCCACCTAAATATATGTTTCAGGATAATTAATGTCAAAAAGAATGAAAATCAATTGTATTATTAAAAAAAATAAAATAGAAACTTACTTTGGAAATTGGTATGAGGAAATTTAATTGAAAAGAAAGTATAACTCTGGTCAGTAGAACTACAAACACTACAAATGCTGCATTTTCAAATTCTGTCATTTGAATCTTTAATAATAATAATTGTTCTGTTACATTTAAACATTTAAACAAATCTTCCAAAAATTAAAATCTTATTGTTTACATTTATAAATCAAGTTTAAAAAATTATGATGCTAATTTATAATTAATATGATAAACAATGTAAACAGCTCAATTTTTCTAAAAATGTTTTGAAATCTCTCAAAGAAATACAAGAAATTTATTAAATATCTAAAAATTTTTCAGTTACATATATAAGCCTTAAGACTTAGATTTATGTAATTATATTATATTTAAATATATTTTTTTGCTTTTTTGTATACCATGGAAAATGATGAAAAATAAATTTGGAATGAATTTGAAAACATTCTGAAATTGGCTAAAGAATCCTTTTAAACATTAAATAGTTGTTTGTATTTTTGCAATTAATTAATTACTTATTAAATTTAAAATTCAAATTAAAATATCAATATATTTAGAAACTTAATAAGTCACTGTATTAGTTACATTTTAATTTACATGTTTGTTATGTAATTTAAAATAATGCACAGCATATCCATTCAAAGTGCTGGAAGAGGCTAACACACTAGCCCCTTCCATTTTTTGATTGTTTTTGTAGAAGATTGTAAATTGGTCATCTATCAGAACTGCATGTTTCATTTGTATTTATTTTGTACTTACAGTATATACTAATAAGTAAGAGTTACTTTCATAGGCCTATTATTGCATTTTTTAGTGATTATTCATGAATTTAAATTACACAATATTAATGGAATTCTCATAAATTAAGAAGTCACTGCAATATTAATTTAAAATGCTGTATTTTTTTCTTGAAATTAAATTATTGAATTTTTATATTCCAAGAAAAAAAGATTTCTGGCATATAATATCATTACACTTCTTAAGCTCTTCAAACTTAAATCTAGTTCAAAGGGTAAAAACTTGAGAGAAATTGAAGCTTTCAGGCTCCTGTTCTCAAAAGTCAACTTTTATTAACTTTTAACAATAGAAGTTATAATTAAAAATGCTGCAGTTTTGTAAGATGATTTCACCCCAAGAAAAACAGTCTGAACTGGATAAAATCTCAAATATTTCTACAAAACATAGACAAGATAGTGTTGAAAAATATTTCATTTTAATAAATAAAATAGCTGATGTATAACTAAAAGATGAAAATTAAAAAATGCAATGATTTTTAACAAAATATAAAAATTAAATAATAAGACTTATATTTTGTATTAAATTATAGAAAAATTTATTTAAAATAACAGGTTTTGAACATTAAAGTTTCAAAGAAAAAGATTATTTACACTCTAGTAACGTGAAATTTGACAAATAGTAATAAACTATTTCAAATATTCATTAAATGAGTACTGAAGCATAAAGAATTGGAATCCACAGATCACATTCATATTCATCTTATTGAATGAACATTATGAAAAATATAAAATTATTATGCCCTACTTCTAATCCAAATCATAAACTGGTTTTAAGTTCTAATTATATGATAAGTGGCTCTACTATATCAAATAGGTTATACAAATCAAAAGTGTTATAAAATAAAAATCCACAGTAAGAAAAAACAATTTATTTCAAAATACTGTTTTGAAAGTAAATTTCCTCTTAAAAATTTATTCAAATCGCCATGAAATAAAGAAAAACTGTAAAATTGAATAGTGAGAAATTTTGCCTTTTCAAGGAACTCAATCTCTAATTAAACAATAAGAAAAAAAAATATTTCAGCCAACATTTCTATTCTTATTCTCATTTAATCAAAGTGAACATTTAACAATATTTTAATAGAAAACAATTTATAAATTATATACTACATAAAATGTTTTAATAATAAATTTTAAGCAAGACTAAAAAAAAAATTTAATTTGCACATGAAATAAGTTAACTTTTTTAAAAAAATTAAAATTATTAAAAATGCATAACAAAAAGATGACTTGAAAATCAATTCATAATTCAAAAATCCATGAATAGTGAAATGCGATCTGTAATCACTGATATCATTTGGAAAAAATATATATATACACTTTAACCTTACATAATAATAATGATAAATGTCTAATATTCTGGAATAAATTTAAAATACTTGAAAATTCTTAATTATAAAAATTAATGTTGAATTTTGTACATATTGTAACATTTTTACTTTCTAAAAATATATGCAAATATACAGGATGGTTATAATTATACAGGAAATATTTAGAGCTCTGTATATAAACTATTGAACCAAATCTGGTATGCACAATTTCTAACCATGAGAGTTAGATTTTGCAAGTAAGACGTTTTAGTTCCAAACTTTTTAACTTCTCACTAAATTTCTCCCACTAGAGAAATTTGGCACTAATATCATTGCAATGTGCATATTAACCTTATTGTGGAAGCTGTGGAACAGCTTTACAATTTATAAAGTGTTGCAAGTGTGTTCAATGTGTATTAGCAACAAGTCATGGTGCCTACATTATCCTATCAAGCATTACTTATTAACCTTTACTACGACAGCAGTAGCAATGTTAGTGCTGCACTTAAAGAATTTCAATGTTTAAAGTCTTTGCAAAAAACATCCGACCATTACTAATCTCAGAAAAATGATTCTGCATTTTGAGGAAAAATGGCAAATTTCAATGTGAATTCAAGAAGGAAAGGGCCAAAACTGATGGAACTAGCAAAAAAATGGAGGAAGATGCAACAACCTTAGTAGAGCAGCAAATGGAAACTTCTCAAGTGCAGTGGTAGTATGTGTGATATCATGGTTAATTGACATGTCCTACCCTACAGTGCAGAAAATTGTGTGACACATATTTCAGTTTTACCATATGGGATATTCTCAGTCACAAATTACTTCCTGACAATTATGATCAGTGAAAATCTTTTGCCGTATCATTCATAGCTTGAATGATGATCAATGATTACTACCCTGTCAAATCCTACACACTGATGAAGCCCATAGTTACTTGAATGGTGTTTAGTCTTGAGAAAATCCACACATTTAATCAATAAATTTTTTTGCATCAACTAAAAATCAGTTTAATGCAGATTCATGGCATCTTTCTTCATTGTACTATATTTTTAGAAGAAAACAATGCATATGGACCAGTGACAGGCTTCAAAACTATTATCTTTCTACTTTTCCACAACAAAATTGTTGTTGAAAAGTAGAGATATATATACCACAATCTTTATGCACAATGGATCATTCCTTCATATCAAATGTTAATGTGCAAAGGCTATCAGTACTTCATGAAAAAAAAAAAAAAAAAAAAAAAAAAAAAAAAAAAAAAAAAAAAAAAAAAAAAAAAAAAAAAANTCTTATTACGGAGAGGCCTGATTGGTAATGAGATTGACCAACATCAGTGAAAGGTCAGGAACAATATCCTAATCCATACTATTATAAATGTCAGATATATACCACAATCTTTATGCACAATGGATCATTCCTTCATATCAAATGTTAATGTGCAAAGGCTATCAGTACTTCATGAAAAAAAAAAAAAAAAAAAAAAAAGGTGAATAGCTATGAATAGGTATCATTTTCAACAATATGGCTACTACAGTCACCATACTTGACCCCTTTGTTAGTTATGGAAATAGCAGAAAAGCCTTATTTATTGGACAATGTTCCTATCTTAGTTGTCTTAAGGCAGAATTTTGCTACATTTGAGACAATTGCCAAATCAGTTATGTCCATCCTTTAAAAGTGCTGTTCATTGAATATATGCTTTAGAACAGAGATAGAGGGTATATAGAGTGAAATCATTGGTATGATTTATTGGTTATTTGAATATTTCTACATGTATGATTTGACGTGTAAAACACCACTGTGCTATTTAACACTATGAAGAGTTACAATTCACAAAATCTATAATTGCCACACTAAGTTGTAATAAAATAATTGCACTTTGTGTCTCAACTTATCTGTTGCCCAAATTTCTTTGACAACCTCTCTAAAATGCAAATTACAAATGACAGTACTAAATTTCCTAGAGAATTTTGGATGGTTTGTTGACTTTGACACTTTTGGTAAAAGGGCCTAGTAGGCCAAAGAGTATCAAGTCTAGCCAGTTAGATCCAACACCTACCTCTTGGCCAAATCACTATTAATAGTAATGTAATAATGGTAATATAGTCTGGTTTGAAGTCAAACGATTTGCCAAGTTAACATAACTATTGGGAGAGATATTTATATACGTATATAACAAATAACTTTGAAGTTATTTTTGTATTTAATAGAGAGGTTGCAGCCAACATTTTCGCATTGAAAATGCCGGCTGCAACCTCAATAATAATAAAATAGTTGAATGAAAAAATTATAAATACATTAATTCATATAACAACTATCCAATTTCAGTACAGTTATTCATCAGTACAAATATTAAACTGAACACTATTTTAACAACTATCCAATTTCAGTACAGTTATTCATCAGTACAAATATTAAACTGAACAACAAATAGTCACTGAAAAAAAAAAAAAAAGCTGACAGTCATCAAGAGTTGAGTTCTTTCTAATAATCATTTTAAGGAGCTGGCCAACTAACTAAGGCTGTTAAATATGTCAGTCTACCAGTCTGAAGATCAATGATCAAATCCGGGAAATCAGAAAACCCTCTAGAAATTTTCGGGTAATGATCTCTCTCATATGTCTGGTCGAATCCATCATCACCCAGGTGTCCCACTGACGCCTGACTGAACCTACAATAATCACTACAATAATTATACTAATAGGGATAAAAATCACAATGAAAAATATAATTTGAAAACAGATACTATAAAAGCTCCAAATTATGTTGTATATCCTTTTCATACTGTAAGAGTGAAATTAAACACTAGCAGAGAACCTTTTTCATAAGATCAATCCAGCTGAAACTATACATTATAAAACTGCTTTAAAAAGAAGTTCCTCTGACATTATAAAAATCATATGGCAATAAAAATTCAGAATAAAAATAATCTCTACCAAATAAAGTATCTGAAGGAAAAAAAATGGTTTTAATTTTCTTATACCATAAGAATTATGGATGAAACATTACAAGATAATTATTCTTAAGTTTTTTTATTTTAATTTTAAAAATACACAAGTTTAGCATTAAAAACAGAAAATGAAATTTTTTGAGGCTTGACACAATATATTTACTTACTTCCGTTGGCCGAAATTCCACTCTCCAACCAATGTTACTATTGGGTGGTGGAGGTTTAAACCTCATAGTCTGCCAGTTGGTTGACTGAAGATTCTGAAATTGTTGTTTTAGTTAAAATAAGAAAAAAAAGTTCATTTTAAATTGTTTAAACCTACTTCAAAATGATCGGTATCTTCTTTATCATTCTGATATAATTTTTCTGCATAGAGTGTTACTGGATCCCGGATGAAAAGATGAGCTATGTGTTGAGCCAACAAATGGTCTACACCTGAGATTATAAATAACTGGTTATAGAAATGAAATAATTTAGAATAAAATATTTTAAATTTAACGTATTAAATATTAGATTTACTAACAGATCTCTTGTTAATTAAAACAAAGTTATATATATAGCTGCTTAAGATTTTATAGGAGTTAGTGTGTTAATTAAATTCAACGCTTCAGAATTTTCAACTCTTATCAAACAAAACAGCTAGTATGTTAATATGTAATGATGGTTTCATGCATTTGCTAATCAACCACAACATAAACATATTTTAGGCTATATGTTGCCACAATTACATCTTATTACGGAGAGGCCTGATTGGTAATGAGATTGACCAACATCAGTGAAAGGTCAGGAACAATATCCTAATCCATACTATTATAAATGTCAGAGTTCTAGATCAAGTTTGAATCATGACCAATACAAACGGATACAATATTAACCAGATGGCTTCATAATGTATGAGAATCATTGGATATATTTCTAATATAAAATATATATATCAGTTATAATTTATTCTAAAATGCCTAATAATAATTTGCCAAGAAGCTTTCATATTTGTTGCATTTATAAAAAAATAATAATAATAATAGGAAGAAATTTATGGGAATTAAATGCAATAAATACAGCTAGAAAGCCTAGAGACTGAGGCGCTGTCAAATTTGTAGCTTTACATGCAATAGGTTCTAAGAATATTTTATATTGGAGAAAAACATATTCAAATAAGCTCACATTTGAATATGTTGTTCCTAATTTGTCATTCCAGTTAGTAACAAGCATTGAGTAACTAAGAATTAGTTTTAATTCATGATTCATCACTTTACTAACAATGAAATTTAGTGCATACAGTCGACCCCCCCATAACACTGTTGATAATTCCATATTAGATGAATTCCATGTTTTACAAGTCACTTAGATTTTACAAATACATGAGCTGTTCACAGTCTGGCACACGTATTTGTAAAATCTAAGTGGATCGTACAACATGGAATTCATATAAAACAGAATTATCAACAGTGTTATAGGGGGGTTGACTGGTATTTAAATTGTGTGGTACTAATATTAAAAATTCATGCCATCCAGAGCATCTTTTATATAGATCATTTTAATTTGCTTCAGTTTTCTTTCATTTTTCAAAAATATTGCATTAATGTGAAAGTTTATCCCACACAACAAGAAAAAATAAGTATCTGATTAAAGAATTAATGAGAATTGTAATAAATGACAGATTACTACATAGAAAACTACATTAAAACACAAGTAGAGCACCTCTAAAAAAACAAAAAACAAACAAACAGCTAAAAGCAACTGTTTTCACAATTACTATTTTATTTTCCCCTCCTCAAATTTGTCTAATTATTTTCAAGTTCTAAAATCAAGTTTTCAAACATATGCATATAAAAGTGTTTTGTATTGAACATAAAGACAAAGTTTAGAACACTATGAAAAATGAACAACAACAACCCCACACCATACTAAAATATGATAATCAAACTACAACAGATGTTCTCACTTGGGTGTTTCCCATTATTTTCCTTGTGTGATTGAATGAGACAACCATCTATAATATTCTGTATAATGAGGATATTATTTAACCTATTTGCATTTAATATTTTAATATAAGTCTTATATACATAAATTCAACTGTAAAATTATAAAATTGTTATGGGACAACAATGAATGGTTTGATGAGTTTAAAATGTTTATTTCCAGTGTTGACTACATGCAAATTGTTCATGTTTTGTTAGTTAAAACAAGATTAAATTTCTGCTTCAGAAGTCATTTTACATGTTATAAAGGTTATATAGGAAAGACTTTTGAGCAGACTAAGCAGTCAAATTGGAAAATACTTGATTGGATTCAATTAAATTGGATAACACATTTTAGTGGAGAAATCCATTTAATACTATAAAAACAACTTTTTGACTAAGTTGACTTGAACAAAACAACTGTTAGACTTAATTTAGCTTTAGTTCAACAGTTTAATGTTTAAAAGTTTTAATAATAACGATGAAGCCAGAGCGAGTAAATGCGTCATATACCTAAAGGAAGGCTTTTAAAAAAAGGTGATTGGATAACATTTATGTGATATGGCTTTATTTGACATCAGGCTTCTATGGCCAATTTGTGGATAAAAGAAAAAGTTTTTGTATGACATACGTCATTACATAAAAGATGTTTAACTTTGAAGCTATTAAACATGTGATTCCATTCTATTTCTCATATTTTAAAAATCGTTACAAACAACTAGATTGCAGTTTTAAAAAAGCATTCCAAATGAGTCTTTGTCTGAAGAAGGACCCAGGAGGGGTCTGAAAGCATTTGTATTGTCTGATAGATTGTGCTTCACACCAATTAAATGATTCACGAGCAGTGTTTTAAAAGTTTTAGTTTGTAAATAGAATCTCATTGTGAATTATGAATAATAGTTAGTTACAAAAAATTTTTTTTTGTATTGACTCATTTCTTCTCAGTGACAATCTTCACATGGATCATCTTCAAAGAAGAGTTGAAGAATTTAACTATTCTTCCAGATGTTCATGCAACAAATTTCAAAGAACAGTATTGCCTGAACAATGTGATATATATATATATAAATTATTATTGTTAAAGGCCAAGGAGCATAATATTGCACAGAATTTTGTATCACAAAATCAATGTAATAAAATATATTGTTCAAAATGTATTGAAAACCATGTATTTTAAAACAAGCATAATTTGAAAACCTTCCATACAACATGAAATTACAGCATTTTATTTTAAAATATTTCTACCTGCATTTCGAAGTTCTTTATAAATGGCATCGTCATAAACTAATTTAACATCATTATATTTTTCTCCATAAGGTGATAGATATGAATCAATGGAATCAAAACGAGATTTATGAATTCTATACTGATTTGGCTTCAATGGCTATAAAATAAAAATTTTTCCATCAAAAATTCAAAAAACATTAAAAATAATAATTTTTAAATAATCACAAAATTAAAAAGTGGGTATACTTACAGCTAAACCTTGTTCTTCTGCAGTTCTATCATCTACAGAAGCTGCTACAACACTCCACCTACAATCTCTATCTGTTAAATATCCTCTATGTATAGGAGATGCTGCACTTAAAGCCATCTGCAATTTAAACAAATTAGAATTACTCTATTTTATAAATAATATTTTAAAAATTTTCTTGAAATACTTTTCCCTTTCTATTCAGTAGACCTCCCTATAACACGGTAGATAATTCCGTGTTGTACGAGTCACTTAGATTTTACAATTACGTAAAATCTTTGAGCATGCAGTGTTTAACAAACTCTGAATGAGAGTTTGTTAAACACTGCATGCTCAAAGTTTGCAATATTTTATGTCCTGACAAAAGAAAAGATTTTGAAACAATAAGCTTATCTCAGAAAACAGTGACTTCTAGAATTGAAGCAATAGATAAAAACATATCACAGTTGGAATCAAAGATTGGCCAATTTAAATTCTGCTCAATTACTATGGATGAAAGCTATGATATAAATGATACTGTACAGTTGCTATTATTTATAAGAGATGTTGACGAAAACTTCTATATTAAGAGGAACTAGCATTCATGAGGCCATTGAAGGAAAGTACAACAGGGTCAGATATTTTTCATGAATTTATGGAAGGAATTTCAACTTTGAAAGTACCTATAAATTGGATATGTAATATAACAACAGATGGAGCAAGAAATATGACAGGGAAAAAAAAAATCTGGATTTATTGGGATCTTTAATGAAAAATATCCAGATAACAATGTTATATTTCTACATTGCATCATACATCAAGACGCCCTGTGTAAATCTGCTTTGGATATGAAACCTGTGCTTAACATTATTGTGAAGCTGGTTAATGCTATTTGATCTTGAGGGCTTGCTCACAGAAAATTTTGGGAGTTTCTAGAATTCTTGCAATCTGAGTACTCTGATATATTGTACTGCTTGAAAGTAAGGTGGCTTAGTGCAGGATACGTCTTCAAGCGAGTTTGGCAGCTGAAAGACGAAATAGTGACATTCTTCCTTGAGAAACAGGGGTCTGTAGAGTATAAAATCCTGGAAGATACTGCATGGCTTTCGCATTTTTCACTGATGATCTCTGCCACATGAACAAGTTGAATGTCAAGAGGCAAGGCAAAAATCAATTTATCTATGATATCTGGAGCAATATCAAAAGGTTTTAAACTACAACTTGTTCTATTCGCAAATCAGCTTGCTAAGAATGACTTGTCTCACTTCCTAAGGTTGAATTTAATAGCCCCAGTGATGAAGGAAAAGCTTAAGAGTTATGAAGATAGTCTGAGAAGACTCCATAGTGAATTTGAACAAAGATTTGAAGACTTCAGTGTCATTGAAAAAGATTGAAATTTTCAGTATGCCTTTTAATGTGAACTGTGAAACCAGACTTGCAACTTGAATGGATTGAATTACAATGTAATACTCAACTCAAACAGTTGTTTCTTAATGTTCCAAAATTAGAGTTCTACAAGTCCTTGTCGAAATCCACTTTCCCAAATCTGATATCTCATGCCCAGAAAGTTACTGCTATGTTTGCTTCATCATATATATGTGAACAGGTGTTTTCTACAATGAAACTTTGAAAGAGTTGCCTTAGAAACAGACTGACAGATGAGCATTTAACTTCTCTTCTAAGAAGAAGTGCATCCCAGTTCGAACCAACTTATGAGAAACTTTCAGAAATGTAGTCACAGTTTCATTCATCACATTCTCCTTCATATTCTTTCAGTCATTAATTAATAGGGCTTAGTATCACAAAAAAAATACAAGAATTTTGTAAAATGTATCATTGTTATTTTTTAATAAGTTATATTGGCCCACCTAAAGTTTTTTTTCCTTTCCTTTGGCCTCCTCTTTAAAAAGTTTGCCCATCACTGATCTAAAGCATCTCCCAACCCATGCGCTGTGAGTGTTCAGGTATGTATTGGAAATATTAAATATATCTTTTAGAATTTTTAAAAAAGGGATCTTAGTCAAATTTCATCTATCTTTCAATCTTTCATCACCAGCTGACCAAAGAGAAGCAGGTATTCACTAAAATGCTGACTGCTGCAAAATCTGGAGCATTAGAGTAATTCAACAGAAAAGTTGCATGCATCTATGCACATTATGATGCACCAACTCTTTGGAGCTTCTATAAATGTTGTGGCTTACCAGCTTAAAGACCAATACTAGCTCTTTATTTTTAAAGACTATATTTGAATCAATGCATATAGTATATTTGTAAAATACAAGAAGCAGCATACCCAAACCATATTTTTTAGTTTACCAGCAAAGTGTATTTAGTGTTTAATTTAAATGCTTTCAAGATGACATTATGGTGCAGCATCAGCATTAGAACAGTTATTTTACATGCAAAAGGATATAGAAATTAGATCTGTCAAAAATTACCTGTTTCATGGCATTTTTATTTTTCCTATCTTTCACAATTTTATTAAGAAACAATAAGAAAGAAAAAAATTAAAATAATTCAATTTCAAATGCAGAATTTGTAAAATACTAAAATCAAATCTAATTCAAATACAAGTAAATATTTTCCTATTTTAGCTTCATTATCGAGAACAATTTTGATGCTTTTACTAAATTTCATTTCTGTTTTAATTACTAAAAGTACTCTCTATTAATGACTGAATATTTAATGTGACACCTGTACAGACTCTGGATTCTCAATTATACAGATTAATGACAGGCCTGACTAATAATTAGATTTACTGAAATAAAAAAAAATCAGGGATAGGAAATAATGCCCCTAAAAATCATACTACAGTTACCATTGATGAACTACAAGGGCATGAACTAGGTTCAAAATCATCTGCACTGCAGCTAACAGTTTACTCCATTTGGACATTATATTAAAACACATTGAATAAAATCATAAATCTACTTCATATGAAAAATGACAAATCAAGAAAGTTATATTAAAAATATTAAAGTAACTCGCATAAAATGAAAAAAATAAGTTATGCAATCATTGTTTAAAAAGGTAACAGTTATTCAGATACTTACCACAATTGGACAAAGAGGTGCTAACTGATCATATAGAAGTCTAGCTTCTGTGATATTACATGCTTGGAATGTAACTTGTAGACAACAACAACCCATTCCGAATCCCATGGCATCCATATATACGTGATCGGGAAGAGCTGCATTAGCTGCTTCCCCATCATCGCCAAGACTCGAAAAATCTTCCACAAATGGCGATTGTGTGTTAACATCTTTAAATACTAGAATATTACATTCTTGTTGATTAATTAAACCAGTAGCAAACTGAATTGTTTTTCTATAGAAGTTGTTCATACTAACCTGGAATGTTTATAACTACTTTCTTGCCTCTTCTTCTTCTGATATTAAGAGCCAAAGTTCTAGAAATAATCATTACTTTTTCATTAAAAACAGAAACTTATGTAATCTGTAAAGTTCTGTAATATAAAGAAAAAATTCTCTCACAGCAATATAGCAATTGTTATAAAGTGTTTAACAATAGTTAGCAAAAGGAATTAAAGTTATTTAGATGATAATAAAACTCACTTGAATCTTGGATGACCACTAAAAACTGCATCATCTGGAAAAAATAGGCTGCGGAGATAGCCTTCTTTTGGATTTGGCGTTAGAGGAGGATTGGAAAAATCTTTGCAGCCTAGTCTTCATAATAATCACATTATCAATCTTTCAATTATAAAGTTAAGATTATATATATAGTATATATATTTTACAAATAAAAATAGCATATTATGGAAGAAGTTTCACAAGTTACAAAAATTTTTTGTTGCAAGTGTTATGAGCTTTGTTTTCTTTAATCAAATTTTAAAATATTTGTCACTTTATACACTTTATAAATTACCAAAAAACTAATCTATTTAATTTTATAATTTTGGACAATCATCATCATCTAAATTATTCTCTATTATCATCCGACTATATACACTAAAGCTGAAAGTAAGGATAAAAAATATCAAGCAAAACAAACTTTTAGTTTTCTTTCCAAATTTCCAACTAAATATTTTTAAAATTTACTTAAACTCAATAATGCTGATAATTATTATCGCCATTTCTAAATGACAATTTGTGAAAAATAAAACATTATTTAATATTATTAAAAGTTTCATTATCAAAGTTTATTGTACAAAATAAGAAATACATAGAAAGGTGACAACTTGGTTAAAAAGCCATTTTTCAGATCTTATCCAGTATGTTACCAGCATTCTGATTGGGAAACATGCCCTGAAAATTATCTCAAAAGCACCATGAAACTGTATACAAATTTTTTAACAATTCCATAAGCAGATTTTTAATAAACAGCTTGATAAATGAAGTTTACAACCACAAAAAAACTTGAGAAAGTCTAACTGAAGATCAAGACCTAAACTGACTTAAAAAGATTTTACTGTATATCAAAATAAAAATCTTTGCAATTCTTAAATAATAAGTATTCCTTATTTAGAGAAACAGGTTTAATTTAAAATCACAAACTGATAGTCAAAGAATTTCAAATTAATAAAATGTAGGAAGAAAAATTTGAGTTTTTATTCAAATAGTTTAGAAATGAATTTATTTTACATTCAGGAACCAATTTAAATGCTATATAACTTATTTAAATGTTTGTTACATTGTTTAGAGTTTAAAGGTTTGAAATATTAATTATATACAAGAGATCACTTCAACTGATAATTTAAATTTTGCAACACACTGTCAAAATACTGCATTTACTCGCATGTAAGACAATCTCTTATATAGGATGAGGTGCAACTTTAAACAAAAAAATAAAAAAAAATTAGATTTTTCTAAAGACTTGTTAAACATCCCATTAACTTAATAAATCTAGGGATACGCAGAGAACAGTTCAATAAACTCCACACCCTCAGGCGTTATAAGTTACGATGAAGATTATCTAAATTTAATATCAAATTTTTGATTAATTTGACGATGATGATGATGATAATAATTTTTGAGGGAATTTAGCGAATATTTTCTTGATTTTTTTTACCATTTTTTTTTTTAAAAACCCCCTTTAACTGTTGTAAAGGGATGATAGTTAAAAGTGCGATAATGGTTTTTTAATTACTGAATCACCCCTTCGCCATGTTTAAATTCCAATAAATGTTATATAACCAATTAAGTATCTTGTTTTTAAGATATCCTGAGCTATTTTCTTATGAAAGCTTGTACATGTTTTTGCCTGGAGCTTATTGCTGTTAAAGATCAGAAACATCAAAGGATGAAAATGATGCGAGGAATTCTTTCCTTTGATTTTTTTTTTATTTTTATTTTTATTTTTTTTATAAAATATTTTCGCTTATTTTTATGATAATATATTCAAATTCCTCTACCGAATATTTAAATTAATAAAAAAATAATTTTTAAATGATTTTTTTTCATTTTTTTTAAAAGATTTTTACGTGTCGATGAGGAGGATGCTGCGGATGAGTGATGCGGAAAACACGTTCCTAACAAGAGAATCGCCACGTAAATTATTTAATACGTTCTATTAAGTCCCGAATCGCGGCCATTGACGACAAATTGAGAAAATTAAGCAGGACGAGTCGAAAATTCTTATTTTTATAACAAGGCCCGTCGTCGTTTGTATTATATTAAACACTAGAACACTACAAATGTAGACAGAATTAGCGTGTTTGATGGAGAAGAAAAGTTTAATGAACGTTTACTATTCCCTCGAATATGAGTTTTTTACCGTTTTAACCAGTAAAATTGTTAATTTAATAGTATTTACTGGTTAATAAAGTAATTACATGTTAATTACGTAGCCTAGATCTTGGTAAATAAACGTTCTGTCGGGCCTGCGAGTGATAACAAGATGGTAGATTGTGCTGGAATCATCTGGCATCTCGTAGATTTTGCTGTAATTTAGAGACATTCCATTAAGGATTCGATGTAAAGTAGCATTTTCCTTACTAGGAAGGCATAGGATTTAATATTCCTTATTTTAGGGGATGAGTACAGGGTGCTTTTTATGGTTTCGTGTTGAAGTTCTTCACATTACCAGCATCCCGAGTACAGTCAAAACTGTGAGCTGTTGACAGGTTGGACCGTACACCTTTGAACAACGGACACGTCTCCTGCCGGTGTTCGTTATTCAAAGGTAGGCTATAAAAACTGGACGCAGAATAGGGGTTGTTACTTGAGGTTCCACTATACTAGGCTAGCATACGAGCCTAAGTTACAGGTCGAAGCTCGTTTAAAGAATTCTACTCTTAACCATTACAGATTTTACACTATATTTTACAAATTAACACCTTAAACGTACAAGAAAACACCGTAAAAATGGCCAGATCAATGGAGACGTGTAGGAGTAAATTCGTTGGACAGATCGAAAAATTTTTAATTAAATTCCCATATGGCAAACTGTAAAGTATCAAATATTAAATAGCCTTTGCTTTCTCTTTGCCGAATATCCCGAAGGTATGGTAACCGCAGACCACTCGAAACGATGCACACACACACTATTCACTTTGCGTGTATCTTACCCCCGAGCTACAAACTCCAACATCAACAACGAATTGACCAACGAGCAGCAGAAACATTACAGTAAATAACATCAAAATATATTTATTTTAACGCCCTTCTACACACCAGAATTCAATGAAGTTAAGTGCACGTAACTACAACACACGGAATTTATATGAGAAGAGTCACTCATTGGTTAAAAACTCATCGAGATCATTAAGGGTTCGTCGAACTCTCCCATAAAAAAAAATAAATAGAAAATAAAATTTAAAAAAAACCACTTTAAAGTCGAATATTTAGAATAGAATTTCTCCTGTTCTTAATTCTAAGTCGTATACTTAATTCCTGCATTGAGAGGGTGAGAGTTTAGAGCGCGTGTCACGTACTATACGCTCGTTAAACGTTATTGAAAGATGAGAATTTTATCATATGCATCCCTCGTTTATACGTTTTCTGTGATTTCTATAACTTAAAAACCTTTAAATTCCGACATTACACACGGTAATTAAGCTTCCACTTTCCTACTTTGCAGTAAAAAGGACTGTTTTAACACCTGACACATCGTCTTGTATCCAGCTCGAACCTCTAAATATTTTACTCAGAAAGTTTAGATTTATACGGTATGAGCCTTAAATTAAAAAAACAAGGCCAAACCCTTCGCAAATTCGGCAAAAGTAGTGTCGTAGGCCAACAATTTTAAGATGTTCTAACGTGTCTCGAAGCCCGAATTAATAGGAAAATAACGCCTGAATGTTGACATCTTGCACAAACTTTCTTGTGTATGCACGAGTTGACATGATCCATACTGCGACATTGTAACTACAATGTCGTAATAAACAATAGAAATTAAACGTGCGAGAGGGGGGAGAACAACGAAATGACGTAGAAGTCGTTTTAAAAACATTGCGAAAAATGTTGAGTAAGTGCCAAAAAAAAAAAAGAAAAATTCAATTGTTAATTTCTCATAACGACAAAATTCATTTCTGTAACCGTTTATTCTTTTAGCAGTTAATTCCTACAACAACTTATTCCTATAGAAGTTGGTTCCTACTATAGCTTATTTTTATAGCAGTGTATCCTTTGGCATTATTCCTATAGCTATTCGGTAGCATTTATTCCTATATAAGTGCATTCTGTAGCCTTATATTCCTGTATCAATACATTCTGTAGCCTTATATTCCTATAGCAATGCATTCTGTAGCCTTATATTCCTATAGCAATGCATTCTGCAGCCTTATATTCCTATAGCAGTATTTATCCCCCATAGCAGTTCATTCTACACGCATTAAATTTCTACAAAAGAAAAAAAGGAAATCCATTTTTACAGCACCCATTAATTTACCAAATATAACAGTATAAAAGCTTAAATAATCTATAAAATCTCACCCAGATTTCGGACGAGGGGAGAGAGACTTTTCCTTACACGATTCTTGAACTAGAATTCAAGAACCGAATTACTACCCTACATCAGATTGTTATCTACAATATCTGGCATAATCGGAGGCCCGAATTGGGGCAGATAATTAATTTTTTTTATAACAAAAAAATAAAAAAAAATTAGATTTTTCTAAAGACTTGTTAAACATCCCATTAACTTAATAAATCTAGGGATACGCAGAGAACAGTTCAATAAACTCCACACCCTCAGGCGTTATAAGTTACGATGAAGATTATCTAAATTTAATATCAAATTTTTGATTAATTTGACGATGATGATGATGATAATAATTTTTGAGGGAATTTAGCGAATATTTTCTTGATTTTTTTTACCATTTTTTTTTTTAAAAACCCCCTTTAACTGTTGTAAAGGGATGATAGTTAAAAGTGCGATAATGGTTTTTTAATTACTGAATCACCCCTTCGCCATGTTTAAATTCCAATAAATGTTATATAACCAATTAAGTATCTTGTTTTTAAGATATCCTGAGCTATTTTCTTATGAAAGCTTGTACATGTTTTTGCCTGGAGCTTATTGCTGTTAAAGATCAGAAACATCAAAGGATGAAAATGATGCGAGGAATTCTTTCCTTTGATTTTTTTTTTATTTTTATTTTTATTTTTTTTATAAAATATTTTCGCTTATTTTTATGATAATATATTCAAATNAAAAAAAGTAAAATGTTCTTAGTATAAGCTCTAGTAACAACTACACAAATTATGTAATCTTTTCTTGCCATAGATGGTGCTTGATAGGTAACAATTTTGGTACTAAAATTTTTATTACACCTAAAAAAAATTCCACTTCTTTTGTGAGTTCTTAATTTTTCAAAATTTCTGTGACTTTTGAATCACCCTGTACAGTTGACCCCCCTATAACGTGGATTCATATAATGCAGATTCGTATATCGTGGCGAAAAAATTGCAACCATATTCGTATAAAGATGCTAAAAGACTTGCAAAATGCTGTAAAATGTCATCGCTGACTCGTGTCGTGACAGGATTGGTCGAATCTGGACCAATAGTGAACGAGCAGCCGAACTACTTACACGCTATGGAGAGTTTAGGCAGGTAAGTTGAGTTTACTATCGTCTGTATAGTATATAAATTAGGTACTGTAAGTCTAATACAGTACTGTAGTTTTATACATTTCTTGTGAAAAAAACATTTCTTATTCAACAGCCATAAAAATTATTTCTATTAATGATGTCTTCAAAGTTAAATTTTTTGCAGAAAAATAACTTATCAGAAGATGCACCCGCCATTTGGTGCACTGCTCCGCGACGAAAACAAGTTTAAGCAATGGTGTCGTCGAATGATGCACACTTGGTAAGTAATCCTGCAATTTTTTGTTTATAGCATAGTTTATACGGATTATTCCCAAAAAATTGTGTGTTTTGGAAATGTTGAGTCGAATTAGTCTAGAATTGATTAATTTTATGGAAGAAAACCTTTCAAACAGCTGTAGTCCGTAAACTGCACACGTGCCGGGCTGTGATTGGCTCATGTATTTAAGGATTCATACAACGTAAAATTCTTATAAAGTGGAATGTATCTACCGCATTATGGGGGGGGGGGATCGACTGTATTTCATTGAAAATTTTGCATGTTCAGGTCATTTCTGTAAAAATTCAACTAGCTAATGTTTATTTTGTAATCAAATCAAAATATTCATTAGTTTTTACTAAGCATCATTTCCACTCTTCACTGCTAAATTAGTTTCAAAACATTCAATTATTGCTCATTAGTTGTTTATGAAATAAGCAAATTATGCTAAGATCAGAAAAATAATTAAACAATGTGTACTACAGAATCTGTTTAATGATTTTGAAATGTTATAAAAATATAATCTATTCTGATTTTAATCATTAAGAAACTAACAAATGAATTGACATATATCACCTAAATCTACTAATAAAATTAAATCATTTCAATTGAATTAAATTGGTCTTTAAAAAAACTATTGGCTATTTCGTTATTCTTCACCGCTGAATAAATACTGCATATTCCACTCATTGTAAAATCACAGATATTGTCATCAGTCATGTTATGTTTTGGGAAAATAATAATTCTATTAACTTAAAAATAGTTACTCAAATTCCAATAAGCAAAGTTTTATTTGTTATAGTTATCTTTAGGTAAAAATAAATTTTTTAAGCTGCATTTTTGCTCTGTCAACCTCAACATGTGGTTGATAACAACAGATCTAAAGTACTAAATAAAATTGATGATGTTGAATGTTTTAGTTATTTGCTCAATACAGTAATTTGTTGGAATCAAACATTAGCAGTTAAAAACAATAGTCAAATACTGTGATTTCCTGCCTAGAATCTTCAAAACCACAATTTCAAATGGTATGTATGGATGAGAGATTGGATCCAATTGTATAATCTGTTAAATTTTCCATATCAAAAAAGTTCAAATCATTTTTACTTTATGCTACATCAAGAAGTCTTCTTAACATAAAACTTCTTTAGAAAGATGTCTTATTGTTAATGTTAGTCACAAAAGTCCTGAAGTGATTACAAGAAGCAAATTTTAATGCTAACAGGTGCACTTGTTGTTTGACATTTTCCAGAAGCAAAGCTTTTAAATAACCAACTAATTTAATAGGTAATATGGAAAAACTAAATTTTTTTTCGTAAGATAAAAATGTTTAATTAAATATATAATTCTATAAAAAATAATATATAATTTTATATTCATGAAAAGATTAAATTTTTAATTCAAAATATTTGAAAAATCTTTCTAATGTTCAAATATAAAATTTAAAAAATATGTATTAACATTTTAGTTTGTATTAATTTAACTGATGATACAATAAGTTAATTTTACCAGATATATGATTATGATTAACTGATGATAACATAGTCAACAAATAATAATAATTAGAGTTATAATAGTAATTTTAATTATCACCATTAATTTACATAAAGTAATTATGTATAATTACTTACTGCCAGTAGCCCCCAACACTGACAATTTTGTGTATGGATGTATCATGTTTTAGCAGTTCCAGGATTAAATTTGAAGTTTAAAATTATACATTTTAATATTGAAAACAACAATTGAACTCCAATTAATTAAATTATTCAAAATCATTCAACATAAAGGTTTAAGTATTATGCAATAAATTAAGTATTCATGAATAGTAATTTTATAGTATGAGTATCTATATATAACTTTTACTGGTGACTTAAAAAATTTATTTATAGTTTCAGATTAAAAAAAGAAGTAAATCAAGTTGTTTTTGTAGATCAAGATAACATTCAACATAATTAAAACTAAAAATACATGTTATTTCCTGTCATGTTTAGAAGCACAAATTACACAACTTTTTTTTAACTCTTATCAATTAAACAATGCAACAAAGAGTAATTTAAAATATTTATAAAAATAATGTTTCTATATCCTATTGGTAAATTTATGCAGTGGCAATAAAATCAGAANTAAAATTGACAACATAATTTGTTCATGTAAAGCTGGACAATCAGGAACCTTTTTTGCCAATTCTTATCAACAGGGAATAGATTTGACTCTTTACTCATGAGTTTATTTGAAAACCAGAATTCAAAGAATCATCTGTTTTCATGTGGGAATAGATTAAAACTTATCAGGCTCCCATGTGATTTTGGAATTTCAATTTGGAATTCAATTCAAAAGCTTTGCTTTTCCTATTGTTATTCATCGTTACTCCTGACAACACACAAAAACAATTCAAATGACCCAGATAAAATAGTTTTGATTTTAAACACCAGAGGGTGAGCATCCACTAAAAAAATGCAAATACAAGGGTTCACAAAAATTATCGCAAAAATGCAACAAATCCTTTGCTCATGCATAGAGGATGACCTAGGTTATTGAAACAGTGAAAAATAAATAAAAATCTTGTCTTATACATGAGTAAATACAGTACTTTGAGTTTATTGCTAAATGACATCTATGTACCAAACCTGCAGTATTAACTTCAGTAAGATGAGTGCAACCATGTGGATGTATCTATAGGAAGTGATAAACCAATTTTAGGGAATTTTGTATAAGTTTCTGTTAAACACTTAAGCATATTTATCAACATTCTGGTTGAGACTAAACCATGAAGTGTATACATGCAGTGCACACACTTCATAGAATGGATGCAGGTCCCTGTTAGATTGCTGTCAAATCACAAGTTGTCACTATCACTCAGTTAAAAATGCACTTCATTTCCATAACCAGACAATACATGAGATTCCACTAGCAGACAGTCCATTAAGGAAAATGAGTCTACTGGAGAAATGGCTTTATGTTGCAACAGGTTTGTATCAACATTGAATCTCTTAAAACTTAATAATGATTTAGCACTATATTTACATCATTAATAAATTTTCTAGGTGGTTGTGATCTTTGAAATGCCATTAACAAAGTATTGCATGAGTAGAAACACAGCATTAATTTGAATCTAACGATTAACTTGTTATATACATAATAAAGAAAATCATTCATAGGTATTTATAAACACACAAGAAATATTTAGATGACAAATGACATTTGCCTAGCTGCCATCACCAATATATGTAGTTTCTTCATCCTCTATGGCAATCTTGGCAACCTTTTTATTTAACATCTCTCAATAGTTATGCCAGTGTTAGCTAATATTAAAACATTTTATCATAAAAGCATAAGCTACAAATGCTAACTTAAAGTGAAAAATGGATAGGTATTCAAAATTTCTAAGCTGTCTACAAGTGCCATTCACTTGGTTCTCAAGTCATACAGAAATGTTTACAGATAGTTTCAAATCTTTTACAAAGTGTGTATGATATTTTAATTTTCTTTGGCCTGAAATCTTCATATCTTAAAGTAGAATATCACTGTCCAATCATTTATCACCATGTTCCACAATTGGACAATTTGCCATTTTTGGAAAAGCAACTTTTAATCCTGACAGAATTATAGCTTGAAAAGTCAAGCAATGGACAGAACTGTAGCAATTTATATTAAATTGTTTTCTATAGTCTGTTTACAAGAAATGATTGTGAACTAATATATATATGGTCTCCCCTACCCCTATATATATAAACATTTCAAAATAATATGACAAAGACACAAAGAAACTATAAAACTAACTGTACTGGACAGATTTTAAAATATTTTGTTTAATTTAATAAATATAATTAAGAATTCTAATTTTTAATTCTGTTCATACAAGAAGAATCTCTAATAAAAAAAGCCAAACCTAACATTCAGTATAAAAATGTCATGTGTGTACTCACTCTTGCTGATTTATAACAAATAAAAATTTAAAAATTTTTTAGTGATATAAAAATTTTAATATAGTAAAAAACTAAGTAATTACATTTGAAAAAATAATTATTTCATATTTATGTTTTGTAACTTATACAAGTATTTAGAAAAATATGATGTATTCCATTTGTTTGAAATAAAATGAAACACCAAATTAGCTTACCTTGGAAAACTAGTTAAGCACATTAGCTTTTCATTTGGCTCTAAAACTTCCATTACTTCTTCACGTCTTAAAAATACAAAAATATTTATGAATAATTTTAATATAAATAATGATTGTTTTGGTGAAAAATAACATATCAATTTATTACATATTTTAAATGCATGTCTATTTTAAGAAAATTAATTCAGGTTAGAAATTGCACAAGTAAATACACACAAAATAGATTATAAATCATAAGTAAAAGATCATTCTCAAATTAATGTTTAATGTTAAATATGCTAAAATTGGAAACAAGATCTGATCAATAATTCTCATAGAAAGTTTTGTTTTTTATTATTTTTCTGTTCTATGGGCACTAAGTCTTCTTTTCTTGCTCATCACAGATTCAGCCAGTGACGAGAAATTGGGCAAACATATCTGGAATTTTATCCTTAAATCAGAGTGGCAGAACTTTTACCATCTTGATTTTCCAACCATCTACTGATGACCTATGCTACTCAATATTTATTAGTGTGTGTACTTAAATACAGGGTGATTCAAAAGTCAGAAATTTTAAGAAATTAATAACTCAAACTATTTACAGTAAGATGGTGCAGTTTTCACAAATGCTTAGAAAGAAGTGGAATTTTTTTAGGTGTAATAAAAATTTTAGTATCAAATTAGTTACATTTCTTGCCTTAAATGGCACTGTAGCATTTGTAAATTTGTTAAAATAAGAATAAAAAAAGTAAAATGTTCTTAGTATAAGCTCTAGTAACAACTACACAAATTATGTAATCTTTTCTTGCCATAGATGGTGCTTGATATGTAACAATTTTGGTACTAAAATTTTTATTACACCTAAAAAAAATTCCACTTCTTTTGTGAGTTCTTAATTTTTCAAAATTTGTGTGACTTTTGAATCACCCTGTACAGTTGACCCCCCTATAACGTGGATTCATATAATGCAGATTCGTATATCGTGGCGAAAAAATTGCAACCATATTCGTATAAAGATGCTAAAAGACTTGCAAAATGCTGTAAAATGTCATCGCTGACTCGTGTCGTGACAGGATTGGTCGAATCTGGACCAATAGTGAACGAGCAGCCGAACTACTTACACGCTATGGAGAGTTTAGGCAGGTAAGTTGAGTTTACTATCGTCTGTATAGTATATAAATTAGGTACTGTAAGTCTAATACAGTACTGTAGTTTTATACATTTCTTGTGAAAAAAACATTTCTTATTCAACAGCCATAAAAATTATTTCTATTAATGATGTCTTCAAAGTTAAATTTTTTGCAGAAAAATAACTTATCAGAAGATGCACCCGCCATTTGGTGCGCTGCTCCGCGATGAAAACAAGTTTAAGCAATGGTGTCGTCGAATGATGCACACTTGGTAAGTAATCCTGCAATTTTTTGTTTATAGCATAGTTTATACGGATTATTCCCAAAAAATTGTGTGTTTTGGAAATGTTGAGTTGAATTAGTCTAGAATTGATTAATTTTATGGAAGAAAACCTTTCAAACAGCTGTAGTCCGTAAACTGCACACGTGCCGGGCTGTGATTGGCTCATGTATTTAAGGATTCATACAACGTAAAATTCTTATAAAGTGGAATGTATCTACCGCATTATGGGGGGGGGGGATCGACTGTATTTCATTGAAAATTTTGCATGTTCAGGTCATTTCTGTAAAAATTCAACTAGCTAATGTTTATTTTGTATTCAAATCAAAATATTCATTAGTTTTTACTAAGCATCATTTCCACTCTTCACTGCTAAATTAGTTTCAAAACATTCAATTATTGCTCATTAGTTGTTTATGAAATAAGCAAATTATGCTAAGATCAGAAAAATAATTAAACAATGTGCACTACAGAATCTGTTTAATGATTTTGAAATGTTATAAAAATATAATCTATTCTGATTTTAATCATTAAGAAACTAACAAATGAATTGACATATATCACCTAAATCTACTAATAAAATTCAATTTAATTCAATTGAAATGATTTATCTTTAAAAAAACTATTGGCTATTTCGTTATTCTTCACCGCTGAATAAATACTGCATATTCCACTCATTGTAAAATCACAGATATTGTCATCAGTCAATGTTATGTTTTGGGAAAATAATAATTCTATTAACTTAAAAATAGTTACTCAAATTCCAATAAGCAAAGTTTTATTTGTTATAGTTATCTTTAGGTAAAAATAAATTTTTTAAGCTGCATTTTTGCTCTGTCAACCTCAACATGTGGTTGATAACAACAGATCTAAAGTACTAAATAAAATTGATGATGTTGAATGTTTTAGTTATTTGCTCAATACAGTAATTTGTTGGAATCAAACATTAGCAGTTAAAAACAATAGTCAAATACTGTGATTTCCTGCCTAGAATCTTCAAAACCACAATTTCAAATGGTATGTATGGATGAGAGATTGGATCCAATTGTATAATCTGTTAAATTTTCCATATCAAAAAAGTTCAAATCATTTTTACTTTATGCTACATCAAGAAGTCTTCTTAACATAAAACTTCTTTAGAAAGATGTCTTATTGTTAATGTTAGTCACAAAAGTCCTGAAGTGATTACAAGAAGCAAATTTTAATGCTAACAGGTGCACTTGTTGTTTGACATTTTCCAGAAGCAAAGCTTTTAAATAACCAACTAATTTAATAGGTAATATGGAAAAACTAAATTTTTTTTCGTAAGATAAAAATGTTTAATTAAATTATACATCGAGACTTCTAGTGCAAATACATGACACAACCCTGCGTTAAAAGATTATACCGACTAATGAGATAAAAATGTTTAATTAAAATATACATCGAGACTTCTAGTGCAAATACATGACACAACCCTGCGTTAAAAGATTATACCGACTAATAAACTTTAAATATAAATTTGAATATTTGAAAGGTTGCAAAACGCTATAAAAATTATATTGAAAACTTCAATTTTGTATGTTATAAAAGGATCGTCCTCAATGAAGTCATGAAAATAATTAGAAAATTAAATAAGTAAAGAACTGATAATTAATGTACCAGTCGACCCCCCTATAACATTGTTGATTTTTCTGTTTTATATGAATTCCATGTTGTACGAGTCACTTAGATTTTACAAATATGTGTGCCGGGCTGNTTAATATTGAAAACAACAATTGAACTCCAATTAATTAAATTATTCAAAATCATTCAACATAAAGGTTTAAGTATTATGCAATAAATTAAGTATTCATGAATAGTAATTTTATAGTATGAGTATCTATATATAACTTTTACTGGTGACTTAAAAAATTTATTTATAGTTTCAGATTAAAAAAAGAAGTAAATCAAGTTGTTTTTGTAGATCAAGATAACATTCAACATAATTAAAACTAAAAATACATGTTATTTCCTGTCATGTTTAGAAGCACAAATTACACAACTTTTTTTTAACTCTTATCAATTAAACAATGCAACAAAGAGTAATTTAAAATATTTATAAAAATAATGTTTCTATATCCTATTGGTAAATTTATGCAGTGGCAATAAAATCAGAAGTTTTATTGAATAAAAAAATTTTATAAATAAAGATTTAAAAAAATAATTTTATACACAAAACTATAGTGCTTTTTAATGTGATAGATGGTAAAAGAGTAACTTGTACAGTGCGAGATAAGCAAGGGGCCAGGGGTTAAGTTAATTTTAGTTGGAGGGTGTTTTCTTTTTACAAAGTATTATCCTCATCTGAGCTTTATTGTCAATCTTGATCAGAAATATCAGCAACATTTTCATATTTTTTATCATTGTCATAAAAAAATTTTTGGATGACAAAAATAGAAAAAAGACTGCTATTAATTGAAATTTTCTTCTAGAGTTGCATTTGTTCAGTTGAGTACTGAGCAACTTTTTCAGAATTTGTGTTCAAATACTGCCATATTTTGTTCATCATTTTACAAATGATTACTTACTTACAGTTAAAAAGTTTAATAGCACTTATTTAGTAAAGTTTATTTAAACATTTCTAGATATGAAGATTAATGTATAAAGACAAAAACAGTGACAGTGAAGTCTGAAAGCAACAATAACACCTGATTGATAGGGAAAAAAAATTATATTAGTCTTCATTAAGAGTAAATTTGATAAAAGGAACAAAATAATTTGAAAATTTCAATATTCTAAAATCCACAGATGAATTTAAGAACATGCAGCAACAAAGTCTATACTTAAATTGTGAAATTTTGTATGTTGCAAGGATTTCCAAAACTGTGTTAGAGTGAAACCGAAGTTGTTTTACAAGGAATACTTTTATTATTATTATGTTGGGTTTTGTGAGTTATACTCGGTTCACACCGGTGGCTGTGTACTATGCCGGACCAAAGTCAAGGCATAGCAACCAAAACAAAACTGAAATTAAAGAAGTTGTCAGTGTCTGTATTCAGGAATTTCCTAACAATGTGGCATGTATTCAATATAGTGGCCTTCTGTAGTGTNCTTAATAATTCTTTTCTTCCAGTTAGTTCTAAACTGGAAGAAAAGAATTATTAAGAATTATTTAATTAAAATTATAATTATTAAATTTAGCATGAGATGGCACCTAACTCTAATACCAAATTAAATTATTATTATAGCCACTTCTAGTCTGTTAATTTGGCTTTGGTTGCTTTAATGTTTATCAGGTTAACTGATGTTTGTTTATGCCACTATATCTTTTCAATCTGTCTACTGGGATTAACTGAGCAACATGAATTTTGAATATTCATTATTGTAATATAAGAATAATTATAAAAAAAGTGATTGTGTTTTTTGAATGCATTTTATCCTAGAAAGTATATGAGAAATTTAAAAAAAAATCTTTAAAAAGTGAGACATCAAAAATTAATTTTCTATGTTGAGTTATTTTAATTACCTTGCTCTCATATTTGCTTCCACAATATTGAAATGAGATGTAAGGCCACCATAAGGCTTTGCTGGAGATGATTCTATCATATAAGCACCAAATTCTGGTCGCCAGAGAGCTTTCACTTCCCTAAAATTATATATATGATATGATTTAATAAATAGCATTACTAATAATAACCACTCAAAAGTTGAAAAACTAATCCTACTTTATGAAAAGTAAATTATCATCAAAGTTGATACTTATTTTGATTTAAATATATATTTACATAATTATACTCCATATCTTCTCTTCTATGTATTCATTGTTATATGGTTTATTTAAAATTTATAAGGCAAAATACTAATCAAATAAGCATTTATCTCCTTAATTTCAATATGAAACCATTATAAAAAACTTTTATGACAATACTCTTATATTAAAATTATTGTAGAAATAAAAAAAGTAAATAAAAAAAATTGTATCTAACATATTTAAATTTTTCATTAATATTTTTTGGAAAAATACCTGGAAAAAAAATTTTAATTTAAAAAAGATTTTGAAAAATTATATAGACATTAGTATAATAATTTTATTTATTACAATAAAAAACAATTACTTTATTAATATTACTTTAATGTAACTGAGATGATCTTAAGATGAAAATTGTAATAGTTATAGAAAACGAGCATTGTAACTATTTATCAAAAAATTATTTTATTGTCATTCAATTATATGTAATTTTGCAAAAATCTAAATTGTAAGATATACAGTGATACCTCGGTTTTTGTTGATAATCTTTCCGAAAACAATTGGTGAAATTCAAAACTGAAGAAAATTGGATTTACATTGATTTATATGGAAATAATTGCCTCAGTTAATTCATTCTAGAACTCCAAAATACATACCAAAAACATTTTACAGAGAATAAATATAATGTTTGATACTAAAAACAAAAAGAATTAATATAAAATGAATATAAAAGACTAATGTAAAGAATAAATGAACATTTAACATGACATATGTTCGACACCTTCTATTGTTTGTGATCTCTGTTTCGTTATCACATTCATGCCTTTCACTACATTAGTCTCCTTTATTGCCACAATGGAACTTTTCATATGTCAATTTCCCATACATGCTGCTGATTTTAGCAATCTTAATTCTGCTCTCGTATTTGTCAATGATTTTCTTCTTTAACTTGATCGTGTTCCTGTCATTCTTCTTTGAAGGGCTGTTGGCTCTGGAAACTTTTCCATGATGGAATTAAAAGGAAAGCAACAGTTGTTTGGCTAGACGCACAGGATAATGCTCACACGACGAGAAACACCACCAAACTGAGCAGGAAAATGTGTGGGTCACCCTTTGTTTCTGCAAAATTAGCAATGATGTCATGTGGGCATGCTGACAAAATCCAAGGCAACCAATGAAAACAGACAAATTTTGGATTTGTCTCAGTTTTTGTCAGGAATTATAATTAAGAAAATTTAGAAAGCTACATATGAAAACATTCTAATCAATATTAGTTTATATATTTTAATAATGTTAAATAATCTGTATAAACTTGTTTTGTTTAATTACATATATGTTTATGTCCTTGTTATACTTAAAAAGTAACCTTTTGTTTGAATATGATTTTTTTTTTATGAACTGAAATAATCCATTTTGAAATCTTTTAAAAAAAATTATACTACCAAAATATTTATTACCTACTTTTAAATAATATAAACAAGATCAGAATTTTGTAAAATTAAGAAATTATTATTAAATTATATTTTATTAACTTANAAGAAACTCAAAATTATTTTTTTTTAAATAATAGTTAAAATACAAATTAAGGGAAACAACAAGTTTGAATTAGGCAATAACCAAAAATTTGACAATGTTTCAGTACTACCAAAATATTTATTACCTACTTTTAAATAATATAAACAAGATCAGAATTTTGTAAAATTAAGAAATTATTATTAAATTATATTTTATTAACTTACAAATTAACAAAAGGTTAAGAAGATTTAAAAATCAGAATTAGTCATTTTTAAACAATTGACATCAGATAAAACAATTACATTATTTATTAACAATTTAGGTTTAATATATAAACTATAAATCTATTTACAGGTTCATAGCCTTATCTTTAGACATAATGCAACAATTAAAATTATCCATTTTCATCACTGATAAAATATTTATCTTTTACATACAATATTTGTTTATACACTGTACTTAAAAAATACACAGTATTTCAAAATTTTATAATTGTGCATATAATCATTTGACATTCAAAGATATAAACAGGTTCATTAATTATAACCATCTTGTATATATTTCAAGTTGCTGTATAGAGCCTGTTCTTTTGATGTATTTTGATGATGAAACTTGGTAATACATTATATGGACTATGGGGAAAAGGGAAATGAAAAAAAAAAAAAAAAAAATATCAATTCAAATTACCACTAGGTGAAAAATAGCATATGAAGAACAAGAAACATAATGGAGTTCGTATGCCTCCTCTATAGACATGATCTTTCAGATATCCCCACAACCATACAGACTCTGCTTGAATTGAAAGCAAGCATAACACGCGATATTGCTGCAATTTCTCAAGAAATCTATCGAGCTACTGTTGAACATGTAATTGACACAAATGGATTGCACATTAAACAAATGTTGTGAATAAAAACCTTTTGCGTGTTTCTTGTTCTTCATGCGCCATTTTCACCTAGTGATAGAAATTTGAACTAATTATTTTTTTTGCATTTCCCTTTTTCCCATGGTCCATATAACATATATACCAAAGTTTCATCAAAATACATCAAAGAGAACGGGCTCTATACAGGTCTGAGTAGGGCAAGTTTAATTATAACCTGTATATACATGTACCGGTACTTGTGTGTATCTGAAACAAGTTAGAATTTTAAAAAACTAATAAGCTTACATAACACTAATAATTGTTACACAGTCAACCCCCCTATAACAATGTTGATAATTCTGTTTTATAAGAATTCCATGTTGTATGAGTCACTTAGATTTTACAAATATGTGAGCCAGTCACAGCCTGGCACACGTATTTGTAAAATCTAAGTGACTTTTACAACATGGAATTCATATAAAATGGAATTATCAACAGTGTTATGGGAGGGTTGACTGTATTTATTAAACTTACTCTGGATGATCACTTTGTTTCTTTGTTAATGCATCTAATACTTCATTTGCTCTTAAACTGAGACATGCTTTCTTCCTCTGTACATCAAATTTTACTAGCATATATTCTATCTAAAAAATAAAAAATTTAAATATTTATATTTTTAAATTTCAAAATCATTTAAATATATAAAAAAATTTTATTATTTTGAGATTATTACAATTATACACAGTCCAGCCCCATTTATGCATTTATTAGTTTATATTATCACAATTATAAAAGTTCAGTTAGATGTTTTTCATTTATATAAACTTTGCTGCACTTCTGTGTCATTTTTCAGAACCATTCAGCACTTTTTACTCACTTGTCCATTATTCACTTGTAAAAATTTAAACCATTTATTTAAAATGAATAAGCAAATTCACTTGAGGTGAGTCCAAACAGACAGCAGAACACCAGCAAATGAAAAAAGCAGAGCAAATACAAAATATGTAATGCAATTTCCAACAAATTTTTCTATTTAGCAAATCACTCCACTAATGAATATTGAAAATTTTCACTTTTTATAGAGTGAACCAGTTTAACTAAGAAAAAAAAAACACTATGGTTCCTCACTTGTTTTCACTATATCATTGTCAGTACGAACTGACAATGATATAGTGAAATAAAATGACTTCATTATTTTGTATGACTGGTGTTTTGTCAGAAGGAAACAACCGATGTAAGATACTAACAGAGTATGGAACAAGTCCATCAAAAAGTAAATAAAACTTGTATACTTTTTTAAAAATTTGGTCAATTGAATTTTAGACTGAATTTACTTTTCCTTTTATATGTTTTTCATATGTATTACAATTATACATATAGTATATTGAAACCATAATTACTAGTAAAAATAGGCTTAGAATTAAAATGCTAAAATTATAATTGTCATTCTGGTTTTTTATTAATTAAAATTCACAAGTTCAGAAAAACACAAATCAAGAAAGATGCCATTATTAGTCCTTTTTTATATCTTAGTATTAATTGATATAGTTTTATGTAATATGATAAGGATATTAGAAAAAAGAAATTTGATGTAACCATCAAATTTCCATTTTATTAATATAATTACACAGTTGCTAAAATCCCTCCTGGTGGTAACATGTTTCGCATTTTGAGGCAGACAGGAGCCTCTTAGAATTTAAGAAAAGGTTGAATCCAGTGTAGCCCTTATCAAAGTATATTATTCAATACAAAAATGGAAAGTAAGATGAATTAAGAAGACAATTTCTTAAATATGCTTAAAGATATATAATAAATAAATAGATCAAAATACATTATAATCCNTATTAAACGACTACCCCAGTAAATTATTAAAAAAATGGATATTGGAATTTACAAAAAATAGATTTATGGTTAAAAATAAAAAAGATATATATATTATGTCATTCCCTTCTATTAAAGGTGTAGTATATGAAAAATATAAAAATATTTTTTTTAAACTATGGAATAGTGTTAGCAGCTGAGTTAAAAAAAAAAAAGTTAAAAATAATAAAAAAGAAAATCAACAAATAATCTAGGTCAGATGACAATAGTAGTAACAAAATCAGTCCACCACTCTTGGGAATACAGATTCAAGTCTAGATTAAATTTCAAATTGAACTCGCTCTCTCTCACCAACTAGCCAAACCCATGACATGCATAGAAAATTGAATAATTTTCATATTTCTTGAATCTTAATATATATGTACAGTATGGAAAAACTTACTTTGAATTATTTCAATTAAAAGTTTGAATTATAATTCCTTATTTTTAATGAATTAAATACTTTAAAAGTCATGTATTATGAAAGATTTATATAAATTCTTGACAAGTGACTTGCAAATATATTTTTTTCTAACATAACTAATACAAAAATATGAGTTGACATTTTTAATGATAAATTACATATTTAAAATGTTTGCTTGTCCTTTAAAATCACTTCAACTTTTAAACTAAACTTATATGTCCCATATTTATCTATACGTAATGCTTTTATGACATTAACAGTTGTTTTGCAATAAGCTGAAACAAACAATAATTTCATCCATGTCTCGGGAGTTTACAGAATGTGTAGCTTTCTCTGAGTTTTGTAATCAAAATATGAAAAAATGTACCAGCTTCAAATTATACAAATTTATGTCAAAGAAACTCAAAATTATTTTTTTTTAAATAATAGTTAAAATACAAATTAAGGGAAACAACAAGTTTGAATTAGGCAATAACCAAAAATTTGACAAATTTTATTTGATGTATAGAATATGCAAGTTTAAAAACATGAATTTAAATATGAACTTACATGATTTTAAATTTTGAAGATATAGAACGCCATACAATAAAAAAAATTCAGCTTTAGTGTCACTAAGATTTAATTTTGTTTATACATTTTTGAATTTACTTTAATATTTTTTGTTGATCTTAGAAAGCATTTGTAAAATTTAAGACAAAAATTTTTTATGAAATTTCATTTTCGTTCATTCCAAATAGGTTCATAAAATATTTGGAACAAATTTTTTCAAATTGTAACTAGTAAAAATGATCCCACTGATAGTATCAGCATTTATTTTTAAATTATGGAAAGCTGTCAAATAAAATTTTGCCAATTTTTTTAAAAATTTGCCTTAATATTCTTTGTATTTAAAAAATTTTAAAACTATATTATACTCTCACAAAAATAAATTATATTTAAATACTATTTATTTAAAAAAAAACACCAATTCACAAAAAATTCTTTTGTGAATTTATAATTTTGTACACAACACAACATTAATTCTAATGTATTCAAGTTGTTCTTGAAAACATATTTAATGGTTCTCAGAACTAACATTCAGATCTACAACTTAAGTTATAAATAATGAATAAATTAAAATTAAGGAAAATGAAAGAAGGTCAATACAATTAAAATTCTATACAAGACATTCTTCTTGTTTTTCCCCAGTATTTAACATCCTTCAATACTGTATTCTTCAAATTTGATTTTAATAATAAACTAGTTTCAAAAACTATTTTTTTAAATCAATCTCTCATCAACAAATACATTTTTATTTTAAAAATTTGAAAAATCTGATAAATTAGCATTAAAATGTTATGTTTTATTAGTAAGAATGAAAAAACAGGAAAATCTTTTTTGTGTTTATTTTAATTTAAAAACAGAAATGTCTTAATTAAAAGTTTTTAATGTTCAAGAAAATAAAAAATCACAAAATACAAACATTTCACTTTTTGGCAAAGATAAAATATCTTTCTCTGGCAAACAGAACTAGAGAATTAAAAAAATGGCAGAATAAAACAATGTTACATAACAGATTTGATTTAAAAATAAAAAATTATACACAAAATATCACTTGCTGCATATATTATTCTTATTTGATGTTTAAAACTAACATAAAAATATGAAATACCAATTGTCACTATTAAAATAATAATAAGAAAATTGTTCTAAGTTAGAGAGATCCAATGTTATGGGAATGACAAAAAGGTTCTAACACATTATTAGCTCAGTCAAATGTCCAGTGTGCTGGTTGTTCTCCTGATGTTCAGTTATGCAGCATAACAACAAAATACTTACCATTTAAGTTAACATTAAACAGTACAGCAGTCAAAAATTTTTAACTGGTATGTACTATTTTACATTTATTGTTAATTTGTTACATTACTTTCTTGAAGATGGGTCAGGGAAATCTGAAAGCACTTATAAAAAGAAAGTAAAAAGATTATTGTCTAAACAAGAACATAAAAACATGACCAATTCATACAAGGTATTCCAATCACTACATAAACTGATTATTAATCAGATATGGTCTAAATAAGCAAGCCATTTGTAAGTTAATTGATAAATTCTGAATAAAATGAGTTCACATTAATGAGACTTTACTATTTCTAGGGGTCCTACTCAAATTTAAGTTAATTTCCATGACTTTCCCTGACCAACTTTATACAAATTCCCTTACTCCCACATCCTTTACAGTACAACACATTGGCAAAATAAAATAGCCTTTGACTTACTATGCACATATGTTTAGTATCTCCAACATTTTAGTTATTTTTTTATAATTAAGAGTTATATATATTTTTTATAATTGCAGAATTATTAAAATTGAAAATAAAATTATTATTAAAATTCTGTTATTAATCCATAAAAAAATCTACATGCCTTTGAAAAAAATTCAATTACATTTTATTATTTATTAACAAATTCTATATGATCTACGTACAAAAGTATATATTAAATTTATCTCTCAAAAAAACTTCCTGAACTTTTAATAAATAAATAGAAAAAGATAATGTTGACAGACAGTGATATATGTTATTTATATTGCAAATAAATTATTTTTACATAACACCTTTAAACATTTATTGCTGTATAGTTAATCTGATAAAAATGTTTTCAACTGCCTTCTTCAGTTAATCCAATATTAAAAAGAACATTAAAATAGAATGTACGAAATACAAATTAAATCAAAATCAAATATAAAAACACGCTTGTGCAGGACGAACAAAAGAATTGCACCTGCAGATAATCCAAAATAAGATAAATAACAATAAGCCAAAAATAGAGCCACCCATGCAGAAACATGTCGACTACCTGGTATTAACTTGCATTATTATAAAAAGACTTTCATGCCATGGATAATCCATCTGCATCTGTATGATTAATGCACCCTGTGTTTATGTGAGCCTTGTGTATCTCTATCTTTTCAAGATGCTTCACTGCTTGCTTGGAGTTTGTAGCTCTAATGATTGTGGCTTGATCTAATATATGCTGACCTCTTGCTGTTTGGCGAATGCCACAAGCACAGTACTATCTATGTTTTTACTCAGAGTATTTGTGTTCTCCGAGTCTTTGTTTTAATTGCTGCATAACTGCTCCAACGTAGACAAGCTCGGAGTTAAAGCGATGATCTTTTATAGCAAGAGTGTCCAACCCGCAGCCGGCCCAATAAACTTGTAAACAAAACCAACAAATTGTTTTGTTTGTTTATTTGTTTCTATGGCATAAACTCAAAAAAAGTTTCACAAAGCCATAAATCTTTTATACATAATTTATTTTTGAGTGAAAAGGAAATACTTTCAAATACTTGACAAAGGAATACTAGATAAAGCTGAAGTT